ATATAGATTCCTAAAGATAATAGGAGATCTATGTGAACTTTTTTTTTATGGGTCATTGCCACTATTTGACCATATTCGGACCTAAAATTATGAGGTGACAAGTAAACTATAGTATAAGGTCTAAGTTGATTGTTATTAACTTTACAATTTTATACTACAGGATTTAGTTGATATCAAAGGGGGATCAAATTTGGAAGACTCTCAGACAGTGTAATCATTTCTCACTAATATTTTTATAATATGAAAATTTCATGAGTTATTTGACTGATCTTGTGCTCGAAAAATAAACAAACTATTATTTTCATGTATATCAAATGTGATTCGATCTATTTTTGTTGTGGCCTAACCCATAATATGATTTTGATTTCATACAAGATATTAAAAGTAATTTGATTTCAAATAAGATATGATAACTGGTTTTGGTTTCGTGTGATCTCAATTAATTGTGGATAGTGCTTTACTTGAAAGCTTTTGAAGAGAGAAAAAAGTAGTTTGAATGTGTTTCAACAGTTTAATGGATTCAAAAAATTTCCATGACTTGGTACCTAAGAAAAAAATAGAGAAAAGTGAAATCCGTAAACTGTTTTAACTGAGATAATGACTTTTATACTCGCCCACTTGATTCAAAAATATTTACCAAATTCTGGTAAGTGATGTGTTTCGGATTTGACAAGTGATTCTCGATATTTTTAAAATGCTCAAAAATCTGCCACAGAGTGTTATGGTTGTGCCTGCCATGTGGTGAATGCACCTTTATTTGGCCCTTCTGTATTTGGTTAGCAACATGTGACAGTGTTAGGTGCATTCAATTACTGGAAATTATCTATTCTGTGAAGCGTTTTACGCATTCCCATGTTACTAGGCTATGATATTCGTAGTGTCACCTATGAGGTGATTCTTGCATTATATGTACGATTCATCGAGATTTAACATTCTGATGTTTGACTGTGTATTTGAGAAAACACGGTATTATATGAACAGCTTATGTGGACAAAAAACCTGAGTGACTTTCTCTAAATAGCATTGCCAGAGTGACGAGAAAACACGGCATACGTTTAGAACTGCAGCGAATTAACAATGTGGATTCATCATATGAAACCGAAGGCGATGAAAGAACATCCCCGGCCACGTTGCTGACGTGGCCGAGAAGTGGGTCGATTCCGCTAAATAAAAAAAAAGTCCGTCGGTTCCGGTAATAAAAAGGTGGAATGGGTTTAAAGCAAAAATTTGTTTGAATAAAAGATATACAAAGTACTAAACAAGAATACAATGAGATTCAGACTCCGGATGCCTTTGCAGCATGAAGTAACAAGCAACATACTTACAAGAGATTTTCTCCCCCCAAGAATTACTTTTATAGTAAGAGCTATTCAAACCATTAGTACACATCTCGAAACACCATTAGAGAAAATAAATCAATTTTAAAATGCAAGAGCAAAACAACGATAGTTTGCACCTGCATTTGGAAGGAAGATCATGGGAAATGATATCTACATAGGCTTTGGCTCTTGAAAAAGATTTAGATTAGAATATGTTCGGAGACAGATCAAGATGTCTTACATACAGCAAATAATTAATCCCTGGGAGGGGAAGAGCTAAGCTCGCATTACATAAACCTTGGTTGGATAAGTTCCTTCATTTACCAACCAAGCCAAGGCTCAACTAAGCGGACCAATGAATTGTAATCGAAATGTTATGCGATGGCGATTCGGTCTTCTGACACCATTCATACGGTAGGTAAAAAATTTATTCTTTTTTCCATTCATAAAGTTCAAAGAATTATTTGTTGTGCGAAGATTATGCAGTCGCTCGCAAATTCAGGATGAAAAGCTAAATGCACGAGCATTGTGCTACATGATAACAAGCGTTGAACTTCTAGCACTAAATATATATGTAGAGAAAGAGAGAAGACAGAGTTATTATCCCTTCCATCTAACCCTAATATCTACTAATACCTAATGATATCCAAGACTCCAACACTACACATACGAACTGATCAAAACATTTACGTCGATCCCGTTAATACGAAAATTGAGAAGCACAGGATGGAACTGCAATTACCTTGTCCTGACCGCCAACGTCCCACACGGTGAAGCTGATGTTCTTGTACTCCACGGTCTCCACATTAAATCCTGAACAGAACAGCCAAACACCAACCTCAGCACAGATGAGAAAAATTACAGCAGAAATAAGACCGACACAATTCGCACATGGGTCCATTAAAATTTCTAACAAAATGCCCAAGCACACACAGCAAGTTACAGAATCAAGAACAAGATCTCATGCGTGAAGGCACGCGTACCAATGGTAGGGATGGTGGTCACAATCTCCCCAAGCTTCAGCTTGTACAAGATGGTAGTTTTACCCGCGGCGTCGAGACCCACCATGAGAATCCTCATCTCCTTCTTGGCAAAGAGCCGGCTGAAAAGCTTGGTGAAGGACAGCCCCATCTCCGCGCCTGGCAAAATCATAAAAAAAAATCAAAAAAAAACTTTTTTTTTGTCACAGAATTCAAAAAGAGAGCATCAAAGTTCGGATCCAAGATCCGATTATGACTAATAAACGAAAAATCAAAGAAAATCTAAACGGGGACTTTCGATATGGAGCCCTAGATTTCGATCAGAAACCAACAGAAACGACGATTTCTGTCTCGTTTTCATGAATAAAAAGCTCAAATAAACCAGTTTCGAGAGCGTAGGGATCTGACCTAGGGTTTCGATGATCAAAATTCAAATGAAAAACTAAATCAATTAAAATTCGACTAGATTTTTGAGAGAGAGAGAATTGGCCAGTGAAAGGGAAATGGATCCATCTTTAGGACAAATTATCAAAACCAACCTATTTACAAATTTAATCGCAGAAAACAACCCACTTCAGATTTAATTGCAAAAACCGACCTGGTTTCAGCCTTGGCGCTGAAACCAGGTCGGTTTTTGTGAAAAAACTTTCGAAACTTCACGGGAGTTGAACTCCCGTGAAGTTTCCCAGTACAAAAAAAAAATTTTGAACTACGAAACTTCATGGGAGTTCAACTCCCGTGAAGTTTCGGATAAAAATTTTCAAAAACCGACCTGGTTTCAGCTCCAGGGCTGAAACCAGGTCGGTTTTTGCAATTAAATCTGAAATAGGTTGTTTTCTGCGATTAAATTTGTAAATAGGTTCCAGAGTTCTCACAGGGGAGTATTTGTAAAGAGAAAGAGAATGAAGTCCTTATGATTCAACCTCTAAATTGCCTACCTCCAGTTGACCAAGATCTCAAGGCTAAGTCAACAATTTCATATGTCAGAAGATGATCCAGATTTGAAGATCTTGAGCCTATGTCTGCGTTGGATAGAGCCTCTGCTAGAGCTGCCTCAAAAAATGAATCTACCCTTGGGGGGTCTTCAGGTGGATCTGGTGAGAATTCTAAACTGGGTTCCTCTTTTGTTCCTATCTTGTTTGATTCTTTATCTAATAAAGAGATGCAATTTTTAGCCTCGAAATGTGCCATATTTCTTGAGCCTCAAGGGGATTTTGACCCTTTAAAAAAAGTGAGGCAAATGGAGAAGGAGAGAGCTACATTAGAGTAGGCTCTCTTCCCTTATTAGATAAGAGGTGATTCTATTTTTCATTCATGTTGGTTACATTGAATGTTAGAGGTCTTGGTTTGAGCACTAAAAGATTTGGAGTAAGAGATTTTTGTCTCTTAAATAAGTTTGAGATTATTTGTCTTCAAGAAACTAAACTGAATGTGGTTGATGACAGAATTTTAAAAAGTCTAGGTAGTAATATGTTTGAATGGGTTGTTTTACCTTCTGTTGGATCTTCAGGAGGTATTATGATTGGTTGGAATAGTAGTAAATGGTTTAAAATTCAGGAATTTTCTGGAGATTATGTTTTGACAGTCAGTCTCAGAAATAAGAGAAATAACTTTGTTTGGTCTATTTCTTCTGTGTATGGTCCACATTGTCATAGAGAAAGACTTTTATTTTGGCAAGAACTTAAGAATGTGAAAACAAGGCTCTCAGGACCTTGGGTGGTTGTGGGTGATTTCAATGTGACTTTGAATTCAGTTGATAGAAAGGGGAAAAACATCTATAGAAAAGAAATGGAAGAGTTTAGAGAGGTGATTAATGATTTAGAATTGATTGATAGTCCTTTACATGGTAGGAAGTTTACTTGGACCAATAAAAGAAGTGCTCCTTCTATGGCTAGATTGGACAGAGTTTTCTTTAACTCTGATTGGGAAGATAATTTTCCATTTTCTAAACAACAAGGTATCTGTAGTCAGTTGTCTGATCATGCTCCCATTTGTTTTGAATGTGGGGATAACCAACAATTTGTCAAAAAATTCAGATTTGAGAAGATTTGGTTACAATCTGATGATTTTATAACCAACAATTTGTCAAAAAATTCAGATTTGAGAAGATTTGGTTACAATCTGATGATTTTAAAAAGAAGGTTCCTGTTTGGTGGAATTGTGCACCTAAAAGTGCATCTGCAGCAAAAAATATTGTTGGTAAGCTGAGATTTATGAGAAAATGTATTAAACAATGGGTTCAAACTGACTTTTATAGTGTTAAAAAGAGGAAAAAGGAATTGTTGGATGATTTGTTGGAATGGGAGGTTTTAGAGGAAAATAGAAATTTAGAAGTTGATGAATTAGTCAAAAAAATGATATCGCCATTCAGTTGAATGAGATTTTAGTCCAAGAAGAACAGATGTGGAAACAAAGGTCTAAAGCACATTGGCTCAAGGAAGGTGATAATAATACTGCTTATTTTCATAAAATAGCTAATGGCAGGAAAAGAAATAATCTGATTTCTTCAATTACAGTGAATGATATAGAGGTCAGTTCTGAAGAAGGTATTGCTCAGATTTTTTCTAATCATTATAACCAGATTTTTGGTCAGAAAGAACCTTTTAGATGTCAGCTGGATTGGAAGAAGCTGTTTCCTTTGGAAGATTGGGGTTCTAAAGAATTAGAAAATCCTTTTTCAGAGGATGAAGTTTATAAAGCTATTTGTGATATGAATGGTGATAAATCTCCTGGCCCAGATGGTTTTTCTGCCTTGTTTTATCAAGTCTTTTGGGAAACAGTGAAAAGTGATGTTATGAAGCTGTTTGTGGAGTTTTATGAAGGTAAATTGGAAATAAACAGGCTCAATTATGCTTATATTGTGCTTATTCCAAAGAAAAATGAAGCTTCCATGGTTAATGACTACAGACCTATCAGTCTTTTAAATGTGATTTACAAATTGATTACTAAAGTCTTGACTAATAGGTTGAATCCTAAGCTTGAAAAGCTTATTGATCCTGTCCAATCAGGTTTTATTAAAAACAGATTTTTGATGGATGGGGTGTTAGCAGCTCAGGAAATTATTAATGACTCTTTTCAGAATGGTAGAAAAGGAGGGATTTTATTAAAGTTGGACTTTGCTATGGCATATGATATGTTAGACTAGGATTTTATCTTGGAAGTTATGAGAGCCAAAAATTTTGGAGCTAAGTGGATAAATTGGATTAAAATGTGTTTAAGTGGGGGTATGTCTGCCATTGATATAAATGGTAAAATTGGGAGTTGGATTATGTCTAAGAGAGGGGTTCGTCAGGGAGATCCTTTATCTCCTCTTTTATTTGTTTTGGCAGCTGATTCCTTTACTAGGATGATGAGTTTAGCTGTAGATTCTCTTCTTATTGAAGGTTTAGATCCGATTAATATGCCTCATAAAATCTGTTGCTTACAATATGCAGATGATACATTGATCTTTTGCAAAAACAAAAAAGAGCAGTTGACAGTGCTAAAATTGATTCTATATTGTTTTGAACTTGCTTCTGGCCTTAAAATAAGTTTTAACAAGAGTATACTCATTGCCCTTGAGGATAATGATTCTTTGCAACAGAACTTGGCTTAAAATAAGTTTTAACAAGAGTATACTCATTGCCCTTGAGGATAATGATTCTTTGCAACAGAACTTGGCTGTTATGTTGAATTGTAAAAGTGGCCCTTGAGGATAATGATTCTTTGCAACAGAACTTGGCTGTTATGTTGAATTGTAAAAGTGGGAATTTTCTCATCACTTATCTTGGTGTTCCTTTGAGGCCTGGAAAGTTAAAAAAAGCAGATTGGTTTCCTTTGGTTGAGAAATTTGAAAGAAGGTTAGCTTTATGGAAAGGAAAAACTTTATCAAGAGGAGGGAGATTAGTTTTGGTGAACTCTGTTCTTTCTTCTATGCCAATTTTTTGGCTTTCTTTCTTTTTATTTCCTAAGTGGCTCATAGAAAAAATTGACAAGATGAGGAGAAGGTTTTTGTGGACTGGTTCTCTTGACCATAAAGGCTCATCTAATTTGGTCAATTGGGAGGAGGTCTGTAGGCCTAAGCAGTTTGGGGGTTTGGGGATTGTAAATTTAAAGATCATGAATAAAGCCTTATTGGGAAAATGGTGGTGGAAATGGTTTGATAATAAATTGGAAATATGGAAACAAATCAGTTTTTACAAATACTTTGAGAGGAAAAGTTGGACAGAATTCTTTCATTCTGGTAGATTCATGTTAACTCATTTTTGGAGGAATGGTTTTGATAACATGGGTAGTTTTTTATGCAGCACTCTTGTGGATGTGGGAAAAGGTGATCGAACTTTATTTTGGTTGGATAAATGGGTAGGACCCTATACTTTGGCTGCGGTTTATCCCTCTCTTTTTAATATCACTTCTTCTCCTTTTACACTCATTAGTAGTGTGAGAAAAAAGGTTAATAATGAATGGATTTGGAATATTCAGTTTAGTAGACAATTGACTGGGAATTATGTTCTCCAGTATCTCAAATTGATGAATGATATTAATGTTTTTAATTTTGATCAAAGGGAGGACAGGAGAAAATGGATTTGGGATACTAAATTTACAGTTAAATCCTACTATCATTTTCTTATTGATGGGGGGTTAAGATTTGATTGTTTAAATCTCTGGAAAATTCCTGTTCCCTTAAAAGTGAAATTTCTTGTATGGCTGGCTTTAAGACAGGGGCTAAACACAAAAGATAAGCTAGAAAAGAAGGGTATTCACTTGGATTTAATGTGTTGTCTATGTTCAAAAGAGGAGGAAAATCACTTCCATTTATTTGTGGACTGTGAGTTTGTATATTCTACATGGAGATCTATTCAATATAAATTGAATATTGATAAGAGTTTTAAATTGAATTCTTTAAAAGATATTTGGATCAATTGGAGTATGGATAAGGGAGCTAAATGGAATGAGGAAAGAGATGTTACTCTATGTTCTCTTATTTGGTGTATTTGGCAGGAGCGAAATGATAGAATTTTCTCAAACAAGAAGAAGAGAGCTCTGGAGGTTTTGAACAAAGTTTTGATCTTTTCATCATTTTGGTTAGGTTCTAAACACTTATCAGCTCGAACTGCCAGACTTCAGGAGAGGAGAAAGAAGAAAGCTGCTGTTGGGCAATCTACAGCTGGAATACTTGCGAACACTGTGATTCAGCTGGAATGATTTCTGTTTTCAGTTCTATAAACTTGTTTTGTTTTCAGATGGTTAAAACTCTGTTCTTAGTTAAGATAGTCTACTATTTGGTAGTAGTAGTAGTTGTCAGCTTTTGTATTCAGGCTGGAAATGGGTTACTCTGCAGTGGCAGAGCTGGAGCATAGTTAGGCTTCTTTTTGTGGGGGAACAAGAGTTTTTCTTTTGGTCTGTAATTTCTGTTTGAACTCAAGTACACGTTCTTATTGGTTGGGAATGTGTATCTTATTGTATCAGCCAATTTTTGATTAATTTAGCTGGCTGGACTACTGTTATGATTAACAGTAGTCCATCCTTTCTCTCAAAAAAAAAATTTGTAAATAGGTTAGTTTTGAAAATTTGTCCTCCATCTTTATATTGATGTGACGGCCGTTAAGCCCACGGTTAACTTTTGTTTTTTTTTTCCATTTATTAAGTACTTATAACTATTGGGTATTAGGAAAAATATACTCAATTATTTTTACTAACCATAGAGCAATAGCAAAGTTAGTTACATCATCCTAATCACAAAAAATTACAAGTTCTAAATTAGTCAAAGTGATAGAAGAGGGTAAATAAAAAAAAGAATGGTATAAAGAAATATTAAATCATGCAAATTACTTTCCTTAAGCTAATCTTGTATTCATATCACTAAGAGAGTAATAAGTCAAATGTTTAGTTTTGGCATATATTCCTCTATAATAATGTGAGGATCCACGATTCATTATTCATAATACAGTAAAAATACTACAGTGAATTACTATAGTATTGTTACTGTGGCACAAGCAGGAGGATCCAATATTCATTATCCATACTATAATAATAGCATTATTATTGTAGCACAAGCGAAAACTGTAGCATTTAAAACACTACTGTAGTTTTATTATTATAGCTCAGGTGGAAATACTGTAGTATTTTTAAAAATGTTACTATAGCACTTATAAAAAACTGTACTTAAATATAGAATTATTGTGGCGGAAATAAAAAATAGAGATCGTGCAAAGCACGGGAGCACACTAGTGTTTTCGGACCCAGAGCTTAGACCGGCCGACTCGCAAGCCAAAGGGCAGTCGGGACGAGAAATAGCACGGGCCGGCCAACCCATTTCAATTTTTTTATTTTTTTATTGCCTTTTGCGTATTTCTAGCACTTAAAGTTTTGTTTAAATAAGAAACTAACTTTGCAATAATTTGAAAAAATAGAAAAATAATTTTATTAATAGTTTTATAAAATTAGCTAAGTTATATTAATAATTTCACAATACGCAGCTCTGTTATTGCTATGCTCAAATTTCAGTTCGACTAGTTCACAAATTATATAGATTCAAGCTCACAAAACTATTATCATATCTGAGGAGAATAATAATATAAAAAATACAGACTCAATTGGGCCAACATGAATAGGTCAGCCCACGTAATAGCGAAAACAACTCGCTCATTAGGTCGAGCGGGCTAGACGAGTTATTGGCCCATATGGATTGGAGGCTAACCCACCTCACCCTGCTAAAAACCCCAAAACCAGCCCATCCCACATTGGGCTGAGTCGGGCCAGGCACAAACAGGCTCGCGCAGGCTCGCGAGCCAACCCAGCCCACTGCCCATCCCAACATGCAGCTACGGTTTGTTCACTGTATAACAAAAAACGGTAACAATGACAAAACAACAAACAATATTGGATAGAGTGCTGCTACGGGGACGCAAAATATGGGACCAATGGAGAGGACAGGTGAGGTGTCCCCTCCCTATTGCATAATGAGTTGGCCATACCAACTCATTATGCAATAGGGATGGAACACATCACCTGTCCCCTCCCTTGGTCCCATATTTTAGATCCTTAAATCATTTTCCTATTGGATAACAACGAAAATTATAAAAGCAAGTGATCTAGCAACCACAAGGAAAACTGTATTTATTTGCAAGATCTCCATCTCGCCAAAAAAAAACATTGATAGACACCTCTCCTACAAGAATATTTACATCCAACCCAGCCATGGACATTAATCGTCTGCTCATTTGGTGAAAATCCTCACCACTGAGATACAAACTGCTAACAGAAGTAGAAAGAGATAAAAATTACAAACTTTCGAAAGAATGAGACCCCCTGATGAATCTCTGCAATGGCTTATAGGCTCCATACTAACAAAATCTCCATCACAGAAAACAAAATTCTCAGCAAAACCGTGTTAGCCATGGCATCAAAGAATGTAGCCGTATATCAACTAGATCTCCCACCCTCTTCAAAGTAATTTTCCAAATGCTTCTTGAACTTCCGACGGGAGGGGAAAAAAAGAGAGTACTTACTCTCTCTTTACTGACAATCGTTCTGAGAAAACACAAAAGTGAACGAGTCATTCGAAACTCATTGAAGCTAAAAGAAATTGACAAACACTTCTGAGAGTGAAGTAGAGGAGGCTTACTTATTAGTTCGTAAGTTACGATCATCGAGGTTCCCCAGAGTGACATGTTAAGAAACCTGGGTCCAAATCCTCGGTAAAATCCAGTCCAACCATCTTCTTGCAGAAGCAGCTTTGTGGTCTTCATCACTGATGGCCGTCCCCCACCAAAATTATCCATAACCTGGTTTTTAAATGAAAACAATACAAGTTCAACAACCCCTTGGCTGGTCCTCCTTACAAGGAATCTCACAAAGTTCAACACCAAGAATATGATGCTAGTGATTAAATACTGTTTTAATAGCATAGCTACTTTTTACCGCCACATCCTTGTCGTTTCACATTTACGGTGTGGAACTATGCCTCCACATGTTCAACAAGTGCAGGCTGATGAAAAAAAAATTCAAAAATCCAAAATTCTTGTATAATGACGAGTTAAAGGGTTCAACTGATGTCTGCAACAAAATTCCATTTTGGGTTCAACCATGATTTATTTATCAAGCCAGAATCTGGGAGCTAAATAAATACCATAAGCTTCCGACAACAATGACATTGCAGATTGTACATTTACCAACCAAGAAGAAGTATACGATATTAAGCACAAAACTGTTCAGAACGAATTTGATAAGTCTACATGGTTTAAGTTCGATGCCTATGCTCCATCTGCAATGTGCAATTGGTGGGTCTATTTCTGTAACTAATTACTTCTTACTTATCCCTTGATAACTTATAAGCCCAAATACTTTATAGACCTTACCCAGATCTTGCCCCATAATATTAAACTGACAGATTTTTCATCAGGAACCTTTAGCACATAATTTTTAGCACTGTAACACTTAAAAACTTTTTTGTCTTGAAATGGATATCGTTCCTTATAACAAATAATCAATCTTTATCTGCCTTTTTCCTTCGGAAATTTGAAGGGCCTGTTTGGTTGAGCTTAAAACTACACTACAAATGTGAGAGGTTTGCCATTGCACCCATTGACCTCCTAGATTATGACATGCCCCTTGTTGCATACTTCCTTGGTCAGAACTTGTCACATTTAAGAGCTGGTGTTAGTTATAAAAGGCTAAAATTCTTTAAAAAAAATTCATAAAACCTGTGCTCCATAGCCAACAATACGGAAAGACTATGGTCATGTTGATTATCTCAGATCAACAAAGAGGTCAAATCGCTCAAACATGCAACATTGAAGTGCAAGTTGAAGATTCCTACTGAGGTATGAAGCATCAGGCGCAAACATAAATCATACAACGCACTGAGTATGTCAAAACAGGAATAACATGATAAGAAAACAAAATTCACCTGAAGTCGTGTCTTTATTGTATCTATTGGAGTAGTGATAATAGATGAACAAGCACCCGCTGCTGTCCCTGCTGCTGCCTGAACCGTGACAAGCTCCAGTTCACATGGCTTTTTTTCCGAATCAACTCCATAGCCCAAACTCCTATAATCAAGAACAGAAAGCTGAAAACATGTAAGCTTACTTCCATAAGCTAATTTAAGAGCATATATAACACAAAGGTGGGTTCGCTTGCCTCCAAATAACATGTTGAGCAGAACTATAAGCACTCCACCAAAGTGCAGATGCAGGCGACTGTGTCACAATTGTCAGCCCGAAGCCTCTATATAGACCACGAAAACCTTCAGTTCTGAGTATATTTCGACTGTGTCACAATTGTCAGCCCGAAGCCTCTATATAGACCACGAAAACCTTCAGTTCTGAGTATATTTCGTACTACATCAAATGGTCCATTAGTTCTTGCCACTCCAGGCAGACCTTGAACCATTAGTCTCTGACAAATCTGGGTGAACAAAGAAAAAGAATGTGAAAACAATGAGCAAGCAAAACCAGCATCACCTTTTACACTCCCAATGCAACCAGAGACTGACTCCACTAAAACATGCCACCAAAACCCACATTTACTGGAAAAATTGAATCAAAAAAGGAATTGAAAGTCAAATTTCAAGTTCCGGATCAATTTACATGTAGGTTTGAGCTCAAAGTCAACCTTGGTTCTGATCATACTATTGGGTGTAAGGGGGTGCAAATCGATCAGATATGACTAGTATCTGTATCCAATTACTAAATATGAATATAGCTATAAATATGGACAGGCTTCACTTAGGAAAACACAGTCCTTATCAGCCAAAATCAAATACAGGTGTGTGTGTGTGTGTGTGTGTGTGTGTGTGTGTGTGTGTCAGTGTGTGTGTGTGAGTACACGAAATGAATGATGAAAACAAATAAGATTGGAAGTATATATCTGACAACCGTGAATGTTTAAATTTTAAATATAATAAATTTTTTAAAAGAAGGTCCATTAATATGTTTGACATATCCGAAAAACTAAGATTAGATATCTAAATCATCAAGATTGATCTTAAATCCATTAAATTATGGTCAAAACAATTTCAACTATATGAATGACACATATAATCTTGCATTCGGATATGGACTCTATCACGATCCCAGTTTTCCAAACCCGAAGGAATGAAGCGGGACTAAAAAGTGAAGTTCATAGCCAATAATAGCTAGAGGTCTACGTCACAAGGTTTTTTGCTTTGATAAAGCAGAATGCACAGGCTTCGAATTCCGTGGTAACAAGATCTCTAAGCTATAAATGGAAGTTAAATGCTATCTCCAGTCTCCTTGAGGTTTGTGACATTTTGCTTGTGACGCCTAGATATTTTACTCACATATCCGTATGAATATCCGTATCCCACGAATATCAATAAATAGTTAACCACATTTGTTTTCTATCAAAAATGAATATACCACAAGATATATGTATCCTTTGGCATCCATAAGCGTGTTTCAATAGCCAAATCAGGAGTTTATCAGTGCGGAAGAAACAGGATTTTAACCTAAGAAGGTCCCGCCTTGATACTGAGCTTAAACTGTCTGGCACAAGGAGGTAAGTCCACATTCTTGCAAATAGGCCTCAAGTTTTATGGAAAATCTTTCTTTCTTTTAGCTTTCCAGGCTAGGAATCTAACATCAGTTTTAGAGGATTGACATCCGCTTGACCTTGTCTATAACTAGGTGACGTCTTCATCTGAGCCTCTCAACTTGTACTTATTCCAGACCCGTTTTGATGGGAGTGGTCTAAATGATAAGTACCTATGCAATCTTCAAATAGGAAACATCAATGCATGCGGCAAAATGAATCATAAGTTACAATCAAAACCTGGATTTCGGAGTCTAACATGTGATACTATAAGAGAAAAGAGATAGTAGAAAAGAAATTTAGCTCCAAGGGTTACAAATTTGCACCCTGAATGGGAACTCGCTGATTTACATAACATTCATCCATCAGAGAGAATTTCAAAAAAGGAAGAAAAGAAATAGAAATTAATGTTTCATCGACTCACCACATCCAACGGCACAAAGTATGCACAAGAAACCAAGTTGGACAGCAAGCCAGCCACTCCATTAGCCATAGCAAGACGACTTGCCTCGGACATATTCACATCCCGCGTAGACTCTAATACCATTTCCTTTGACACTTCAAGTGATGTGAGGGCCAATACCCTGCCAGGTAAAGCCCCAACTGCCCCGGTACCGAAGCCTCTAAAAATTCCTCGAATACCATCATTCTTTAATATGTTTCTGAACACTGATACGCCAGACATGTGAGCCAATCCACCTTCAGCAACTTGCATTCGGGTTTTTACAACAGCTGTTGGGTGCAATAGACCAGATTGGGCAGTAAAGAGAATAGCTCCAATGACATGGAACCTTGTCTTATCCAACCTTGATACAGGATCCAAAAAAAAGAAAAATACAATAAGTTAGTTGATATTATGGATTAGTAATGAAGTGTGCTTTCAACTAGCAAGTATGACAAATGACCATGATGCAATTCCTATCCAAATTATATTATACGAATCCGATCATGTCAAGGAAATATCTCTTCATAGACAATACAATGTCAAGTTCCCAAACTAAGAAAATTATATTTTATAAGTTACAAATATGCTCTAACTGTGTCTTGGAACTCTGTTTGCATCCATCTACTCGGTTTGCATCCATCTACTCTGTTCTCTTGAACTATTGACTAGCGCCAAAAGCTTTATCTACGTTGAAATAGTTCAACTATTACTCATCTCCCATGTAAGAACCTTTTTTTTAAGAAAAACAAATATGCATAAGATTAATATTGTAGGGTTGTCCTTCATCTCTGTAAGACTCGAGTCATCTTCGATCCAGTCGCGAGTTCAAGTTATTTCGCTTATCACAAGAATTGCAAAATTTAGTCCTAAGAAATATTCTAACAGTCTGATGTGCAACTAGAAAACTTTTAAGATATCATATATAACCCGAAATCGTACGAAACTCGTAACTAAATCTAAACGAGCAATTTGAGTTTCTTTAACTTACCTTGGAAATATGCTAATTGCATTTCGATCAAATTAACAATAAAAAGTCGACTTAGTCGCAGATTAATATCCGAAATCTGCATTCTTCCCTACCTTTGATTCACTGAAGTTCTATTCTGACAATTTGATGCCTCAAAGTAGAAACAAGTTGACATTAATTTTGTTCAAGAATATCATCATAGATAAGTGAATGAGAAACAATTTCTCACCAAACGTCAATATTTTTTTAGTTTAAGGACGTAAGGGGGGAAAAGTTAGGGCTTTGAGGCATCAAATTGACAAATTAATGTCAACTAGTAAACTTGGGGAATCAAATCATCAAAATGCAACTTTAGGGTTTAAAAAAGGTTGAAACTTTGGGATATTTAATAGCAAATAAGCCTAAAAAGACACATCTTCTCGTTTCACACAGAACAATCGATCACCAGAGACGCTCAAATCCCAAACAAACTCCCGAACGTTCGCTCCCTTAATACCCTTTTTTAATCATGATCCAACAAAAAAAAACTACCTTTCCGCCTTCCTAGATCGAAGAAATGAAAATATTTTTTTTCTTAAAAAGGCAAAAGGGGCAGGCTTCACCTGTGCCAGTTGATGTTGGTGTCAGATAGG